GGTGAGACAAGCAAAGTCTGATCTACAAGCTATGAAAGATTTATTCTCATCGTCTAAAGAAGAAGTCTCGTCTCAAGTCATATTTATGGCTCACCAGGTAATGGAAAAGGCACTTAAGGCTGGTATGTATGCCTTATTGGGATTGAATGAGATTTATCTCAAACATCATGAATTGATTGTTCATGCAAGAGCTCTTAGTTCATGTGAAGGATCGCTATCAGAACTAAATAATTTAGTATCTAATATGGAGCAATATTACTTAGACACACGTTATCCTAATAGACACAACAGACCAGATGCACCAGTTGATAAGTATAGTCTTCATCAAGCTTCTGATATAGCTAAACGTGCTGAAAAAGTCTATCATTTGATTTATATTTTGGTACAGTAGGTAATTCATAATTTTAGTTGTAGTTACTTTATTTTTGATACTCCTTTACTATTATTAACATTAATGTATTGTTCAAATTTAGTATTTTCATGACTTTTCTAGATTTATTATTTTTGATATTGTATCATTGACTGATTTTAGAATTATTTTTGCTGTTAAGACACAATATTTTTTGGCATTTTCAATATTTCAACTGCATTTATTACTTAATGTGTGGGTGGTGTACTGCTCAATCATACAACATGAGTATTATTTTGAGAACTTTGCCTGAGAGAGAAAAGTCTGTAACAACAAATCTTAGTCAAACTCTATGAAGTATTATCAGAGCCCAGAAGCCAAAAAAGAAGCGCTTTTAGTTGTTTTGTTGATTAGAGCCTAAGTTCAGCTAACATATAGATCTAATGTATGTATGTGTGTGTGTGTGTGTTACCTCAACGTCAAAAAGTATAGGAGTCTGTCTATGCCAGACTATGTGTGTGGTGTGTGTGTGTGTGTGTGTGTGTGTGTGTGTAAGGAATGGAAAAAGCTGCATGACAAATTAGCTATATAATATACACAGTTTTGTGGTCACAACTGCTGATGCAATACATATTATCTAATTCATGCAAACATCATTAGCTCATGCATTATGCATTGTTGCTTTACTTGTCAATGAATTGTACACAGTTTAAAAGTGCTGGTTTTAGCTTTTTAAATTGAGCTCCATGTAGTCTCTTATTGTCAGCATGTTTATGTGGCTAATGTAGGTAAACACAAATGAGTGAATCGTGTATCAGTTAAACCATAAGTAAATACTTAGCTACTTTAGTTAAATTGATCAACGCAATAATATCAGGTGTATCAGTGAAATCTATGGTGAAATTTGTCATGCTAATTCTCTCAGTTCTACTAGTAGTATTTGCATTGACTGGATACTAACATTCATTACAATAGTAAGTTGACTACTGTCTAGTGGCTACTAATAAGCTATTATTATTTGTTAAACTACAGGTGAGATAGGATTTACGAATTGTTGTAAGTTTAGTGATATTAAAATAATAGTGATTATGGCAAAATTTAAAATAGAATTAAGTTTAAATTTTTGTTGAAATGTTTTTGTGGGTAATTATGATTGTGTTAAAGCGATCACAAATACATTCATTACTATTGATGAAGTACAATTAATCCCACCTCCACCACTCATTCGAGGTACTAATGTCCATTTAAGAGGAATTGTACACATTTGTAAGTTGCTTGAGAGATCACATTAACAGAGATAAAAATTTTAATGCTGTGTATTATTTGTGTTTGTAGATATTAGTATTCACTTTTAGTCTTCCTGATAGAAATGTTTCCATTTGAATCTAAAATTTCCCTTACATTATAGAAAATAACATTTTTGTATGCATGTTTCATTAGAATTTAAACAGATAAAAAAATTGACTGGATGATAGCAGAATTTTTAATTACGTATAGTTTTTGTCATGGACTTAATATCACATTTGTTGATCAGAACTTAAATGGATGTGATCTTATTGCTGAAGTACTAAAACAAAACTGTCCACTACTTCCTGGAGTATTCAATCTAAATGCAACTCAAGAAGTTTTAAAGTATATTGGCCAGTATGTGGGCCAAATTTTTAATACAAGCACATGTATTTTGTATTATCTTTTATTTTGGCAAAATTACATCAATAATCAAAAAACATTAAAATATTGAAATCAAGTACGGTATTTCAGTCACACAAGCTAGTGTTTACTTGTACATTGATATTTGAAAAAGAACAATTTGATTGAAGGAACACATGATGATAGTGTGTTTACTGTGCTCTGGTATTATTAATACTTGGGATTCTTTTGAGAGTGGAAATAGCATCATCTCTATCTTGATATTAAGTGATCTTGAACAATCCTTGTTTTTGTAGCATAAATCACCTAAATAATTTTTTAAAATACTAATAATAGAAATTATGATTATAAATTACTGTATAATTAGAAGTTATGTGCATGTACATGTACATACAAACAGACAGACAGTATTTAATATACTGACTTGTCCTTCACCCAATTAATAAGTATAGACAGTAATGAGTAATTAGTCTTAAACCAGACCCACCTGTTTGAACTTGCATGGGCTCATTGATGAAGAATATCCTCTGATGCCAGTGAGTGGGTGTATCTTGTGGACTAGTACTGAAGTACACAGGATAAGAGGGAACCTCAAACCCAATGACAAAGTATCCAACAAGACCCTACAACATATTAATAATAAACCAGACCTTAGGGAACTTGTTACATGTACATGTACAACATTGATCAGTACTAAAGTTACTAACTGCAGTGGCAATGCACTGAATGCATTTTGAGAGTTGAATTTTGTAAATCAGTCAAAAAAGGTCACTATGCAATAATTGGAGGTGATTTGAAACCACTTTTCAGAAAATGCACAATATGTATCAGAACTCAGAAAACGTCAAAAATTTGTGGTAATTTTGGAGCCATTTCCCAGAAAAAAAGCATGGGCTATAGCCTTGGGTAGTTTTAAAATTTGGCCAATTTAAAAAATGCTCATAATTCTAAAATTATTTTTTGGAAACAGCTCAAACTTTCTACATACAGTACAATGTACATAGCATTAAGACACCAATACCTAACAAAAAATGTAATAAAAATTAGGGCGATTCTGAAGCCAATATAAAATAAAAAATTAAAATCATAAACTCACTATATTATCATTTCCTCCTGACACCAGTTGCTGATGATTTGGTGACCAGTGAATCCCACAAACCTCCTGGGTGTGGTCAAATAGTCTCCTGGTAGACGTGGGTCCCACTGTAATATTGACCCACTACATAATCACTAGTCCATGACAGGGAACCTCTGAGAGAGACAATGCAATTGAATTTAATATTTTGCAAAATAGACTCCAAAATTAAAATATTACTAACTAATTTCAATACATATACTGTATAGCGGGAATTTTGGGGGGAACTAAATTTAGCGAATTGCTAAAATTTGGTGTTTGGCAAATTTTAATTTGGTGATTTTGTCAGTGGCCATGTGCAATTGAGCATGCGTATAATGGCTAAAAATGGCAGATTTTATTTTGGCAAATGGCTATCAAAACACCAAATTTTGCAAATTTAGCTCCTTCCAAAATTTCCTGCTATACGGTATTTAATTACATGTAAATACATGGACACACACATTGTATTCTCATGCGGTGTAAAATATTTAAGCTAATTCCCATCACGAAATATTTCGAGTGACATGTACATGTACATGTCAAAATACAGAAAAAATGGGCAAACTTCAGAAAAAAGAATGAAATAAAAGCAGCAAAAACTTATTATTACACTTTTTATTCTTCCTCATGATTACAGGCTAAAGAAATTGAAATTGAAAGTGGCTTTGACTGTTTACAAAAATGTAAACAGTAGTCACACACATACAATTTCAAATGATACAGTAATTATTAAAAGACACATTAATATTCTTACTCAGGAGGTAGCATAGCTTTCATCATCACAACTTCCTTTCTGACCACACCTCCCCTCACTCCACCCACTCCTCATCCTTACCTACACAACATCACATGACTATCATCAAAAGTCACATGATCTCTCACTTGTATGGTGACGAGGGGATCTTGAGGGACGAGGGAGAACTGAGTTGGCTGTGACATGTGGTCTCCTGGTTCTTCAATACAAGAGATACTAGAGGACCAATACTGTTCCTTTCTGGAGGATGTCAGGTCTCATTCATTTAATTAAGAGGAGAACATCAAAGAGAAGATAATGAAGAGACTCAAACCTTCCTAACATATAGGAGAGACTATGATAGAAAGGGAGGGCGGAGAGATACATGTATACATAGAGAAAGGAAAAAAGAAAAGGAAAGAAGGAAAGGAATAGAATGAGAGGGAGGAGGGGAAAGAAGGAAAGAAAAGAAAGAAGTAAAGAAATGAGAAAATGGAGAGAAAAATACATATGTACATGGTGATAGGAAACTTGATATTTCAGTCCTGTTTTTCTATCACTTTTCCTTCAAATTGTGTGTGCCACTGCTTAGGTCAGTTTTCATGGATTAGTGATCTGTACGAATCAAGTTAGCAAATTAAGTAGTTAACTACAATGAAGTAACTAAAAGCAAGAAAAACAAAAAACATGCATTATGCCATTATCTTTCATGGGGTGGGTGTGGCCCTGTGGGTTGCTGGTATTTTCATAGATAATTATCTATGGTATTAATTTTTGCAAGAATGGCATCTAAAAGTGAGGGCTACTATTCTCTTCTCTTTGTATCTCTTTCACTCATTCTTTGTCTCTCTTACTTTACTCCTCTGTATTTCTAACTCATCACTATATTACTGTTACTCTGTTACTGGTAACCTCGCTGGTACCTCTTGTTCTCTATAGACTATCAACCAGTGAAGAGAAGGGGACACTCCACAGTAAAGGTAGGAGACTACCTATATATGTGGGGTGGGTCCAGGTTTGTAGCACTTGATAGTGATTTGGATAAATCAATGACATCATCAATGGACCTTTATCACTTACCAACTAGTTCATGGGAGGGTAGACCAACAAATGGCAACCCTCCACTACGTGCCAGTGGATATTCATCTGCTGCTATTGGAAATAACATCTATTTCTTTGGTGGTGATAGGGGTGGTAGCTATCGCAATAGTGTTCATTGCTTTAGTGTGGATTCATTCAACTGGAGAGAACTGTCTCCTTCTAGTTCTGATCGTGGCCCAATCATGAAGGCCTACTGTGGAATGATATCAGCTCATTTTGACGGTGAACACTATCTTGTAATAATTGGAGGAATTGGATCATCTATCAATACTTCAAAGCAACCTGATGCTAAGTATTCAGCTCGTGGTAGATGTAATGAGATACATTATTACAGGATTTCATCAGGTCAGTAATTCTCATCATTGATACACAAAAGTTGTCAATGATCCGTATTTCATAACTTATATTAATGTACATATAAAACAGATTGTTAATAATTAAGTATGTTTGTAGTGTGTCCCTGTAAAAACACAGACACTTAAAAACACTTTAATACATATATTATCATGTGTCTAGTACCGTATAGCGGGAAATTTTGGAAGGACTAAAATTTGGCAAATTGCTAAATTTTGGTGATTGGCGGATTTTAATTTGGCAAATCGGTGGCCACGTGCATTGAGCATGCGTGTAATGGCTCAAAATGGCGGGTTTAATTTTGGCAAATGGCTATCAACACGCCAAATTTACCAAATTTAATTCCCTCCAAAATTTCCCACTATACGGTGTATGATAGTGCATATAATGTATGTGAGAATTGATGAATGCATGACGTGTATCTATAATGTGCATGTTATGTGTGTGTGAGTATTATCATGTATCTGTGTGTGTGTGATGTTTGTATATGTACATGTATCTATACATAAGCTAATGTGACATGAGTGTGTGTGTGTATGTAGGTTCATGCCATCATCTTTAATAAAGTTTTATATCACAAATTACCGGCATACATGTACAATATTCGATCAGTTTTGTATAATTATTGGGCAAAGCCCACTATATAAGACGAGAGTGAGTCTGTATGGATGTAGGATGTTCGTCTAACTATTATTAAAGTTAAATAGCCTGATCTTCATTTAATGTGGGTGTGGTCACAATGAAATAAAATTGTACTTATCAGAAAGTGTACGCTCATTTGCAGTAAACAGTCAGCAAGGTAAGACTAAACTGCTATTCAAAAACTTCTCTAGCTGTAAGGAAGGTCATACAGCACAACAATATAGTGTGGCTCAGGGGCTGAGCCTCTTTAAATGCTTTACATTCTTTTAGCTCATTGACATTCATTGGAGATGTGGTGTGTATTATAGATAAACTACAGATGTTGAGGGCTACTGGATATACAGGAGTATGTTAGTTGATTAGAAGCCAAGGTGAAGTTGAGGCTTCTAATCAACTAACATCAGAGCGTATATCCAGTAACACAATTACACAAACAGCTGTAGTTTATCTGGTTTGTACTATAGTGTGTGAGTGTATTAAAAAGCACTGTCTTGTAACTACCAGTATTGGCAGTTAGATGACACTTCTGTGGTCTCCACTGCTGTGGTCACTGCTGTGTTCTCCCTGCTGTGGTCTCCACTATATAAAAATTTGTGGCAGTGCCTTTGATGCTAATTATGCATCCACATACTATAGTACAAGTGATGGTATACATGAGTGCATCTGTGTGTGTGTGGGTGTGTGCATAAGGCTTCTGTGTGTGTGTAAGACATCTGTGTATTGTGTGACAGTGATGTGTGTCTATGCATGATGTGTATGTATAAATAATAATGTACACACATATACACATACATATGTATGATGAATGTGTATAATGTATGTGTGTGTATGTGGTAAGTAAGTGTACATGAATGTTTGTACATTATTATTAGATCAATGGATATCTCCTGTTGTTACTGGAGACAGACCACCTCCTATTTATTCCTTCACTCTAACACCAGTTACTAATAACACTGCGGCAATGTTTGGAGGCCATATTGATAATGGAGCCAGTAATAAACTGTATATGATAAGTTTCACTAAGACAACAGTGGTGAGTTAATACTCTAGGATGTGTTTTGATTATGCAATTCTTTTGATTTAAATTGTGGATTTCCAATCAAATTTTAATTGAAGAATTGTAATCCATCAAAAATGCATTGACGTGGCTTGACATGTACATGCAAATTGTAGTCAATTAAATGCAATGTAGATTATTTTGTCACTATCACAATCTTTTTGATGCGCATTCTA